TTGTTTCTCAGCACCACTTAAGGGTGGTTATGGCTCTGGCTGGTTGTTTCTACTCACACTGCCTCCTTTAATCCTTACAAAAGTCCTGTGAGATCGAATTACAGTTGTCAGTTTACAAACAGAAACGTGTAAGCTCAGCAATTATGTGTTTACCAACATCACAGAACACCTTGCGAGGGCAGAGCTCCTTGAATTAATTCAAGTCTCTGCAAGTCCAGTGCCAGTTCTACCACATGGTAAATACATTTTGCTGATGTACGTTCTGTCTTACCAGTGTTATTATACAGATTTATATCAAAACTAAAAAATGAGGGAGACCTACAATAAAAAATAAAAAGTTAAAGTTTAAAGCCTAATTATAAACCCAGTTCCCTGACACCCTCACGTCTGAAAAGTTCTCCCCACGGACATTTTTATAGTCTCATGTTTCCTGCCACAATATTTTGAGAGAGGATGAAACTCAGCTGTAGCCTCATGCCAAAGGGATGCAACTATTTCCACAATGCACTTGACCACTGAACAAACTACTCATTGTAGAAAACCGTACAGAGCAACCAGACATTCTGGACATTATGGAAGCTGCTCAAGGACATGAGCTTTGCTTTGCTTTCTCAGTGCCTAAAATAGGCCCTGCTTCCGAGCAGGTGCTTGACAAGCAGTCATTGAATGAATGAATGAATGAATGAATGAACGAACGAACGAACGGTAGTAATAGGTCATTAGAGGTTCACAAGTGTTTTCATGAGGCTAAGTCATCCCTTCCCCAATCTTGGAATGTAACATGGAAATAGTTACAGTGCCTGGACACACACTCCAGGCATTTCGGAGGTGATTTTTTTAAACAGAAGTAAATAAAAACAAACAAACAAACAAACAAAATCACTTCCTTAAAAGTTACAACAAAATCAGGTTTTGTAAAATTTTCTCCATCCTAGACAACCTCCTAGAACCACTGATTGAGAAATCTTTAGCCATGTGAAGGAAAATCTGCAAAATAATGATTCATGCTCTGAATGGTAGGGGGGGACAAGGGCATGGATTTTTCACTACTCTTGAACCCAAACTCTGACTTCTGAATGACTTATTAGCGGTACAACCTTGGGAAAGCCCCTGAGCTTGTTTAAATGTCAGCATCCTCACTGGTAAAATGGAATATTTAATTAATTTAGTTATTGCAAGAATTAAGAAAGATTAACAGCTTGCACTTAGCAAGGTCAAGAGACGTGAGTCCCCTCCCTCGCCTTTCTCGCTTTCCTTCCCTGCTCTCTCCTTCCCTGACACCCATCTATTCTAAAACCATAAAGGTAGGTGAGATCATGTAATTAATTTTTAAATGTTCTTATTCCTCCTGTTCAGAGACTTTTTAAAAACATGAGTTGGAGGAGCTCTAAGTTTTCCACTCATTTTTTCCTTAGTGTTAGAACTAAGATATTATGTCCTATTATATAACAGAAAAACAGAGAAGCTGAGGGCTAGAACATGAAAATTATTGTTAACTAGACAGGCAACAGAATAAAGAAGATGTAGCTATTTTTCTGCTGTTATCTCTAAAAGTGGTTGAAGAGATACAATGGAAGAGCAGGAGGCCTCTGCTTCTGAAGTTACTGCTGTCTTAGAAGCTTTCACAGGGACATCTGTTGACTTTTTCACAAGGGAGGTTAAGGGGATCAACGGGGAGTGGAGGAGACTATGGTTCACGAGGGAGCCACATCTGTTTGGTATGCTCCCAACTGAGAACGCTCAACTTCAAAATAGTACGGATATCCTAGTTAAACTAGGATGCAGGAACAGATGAAAGCTTTTCTTTCCCCCCATGTTTCAATGGCAGAGATCAATAGCTGTTTATATGCTTTAATACCTAACTGAGGGTGAAGCCTTCACATCTGTCAGTATTTTCCGGTCCTATTTCCTTGGATCACAGTGGGGAGGAGGTGAAGTCTGAACCCCTCCCAATTCCCAGGCAAGAACACAGAAATATGCCTGGGATCCAAAGCCATAATGCTAAGCAGAACTCCCCATTTCTCATCCATCCGGGGTCTGCTGTTTGCAGAGAATTCTTCTTTTACTTTATCCTGACAGACATCTTGATCATTTCCATGATAATGACTCACGGCAGAACAAAGATCAAAAAGACGAAAAGTAGGCTGGAATCAGGGGGGGGGAAGAAGAGGAGGAAATGAATTCTAACAGAGAAAGTGGTTCCTAAAGATAAGTTTTTTTTCAAAAGATAGCAACAATTTAATCCAAGGGCAAATGACAGAGGTGAGCAGGATGCTGATGAAAACCTTTGGGGTAATGGTGGATGGCAGTGGTTTTTACTGACCCCTAACATTTCACGTTGGAAAAATTAAACAGAGAAAATTAAACTCTATGAAGGCAAGGTGCAGGATATACTGAGGATGGTGATGAAGGGATTCAGAGGTTCCGTTTAACTTTTGATCACCAGCACTACAGACATGTTGGGACTTTATAAAGATTATTTTTTCCTCCATCCTTCCATCCATCGATCTGTCTATCCATCCATCCATTCAATAACTTGTAAGGCACCAAGACTGGACTTAGTACTGAAATATTTAAATGAATAAAAGACATTCCATAACCTTAAGGGGCTTACATTCTAATGGGTGAAAGCCTTCACAGAGGACATGGTATAAAGGATGCAGGAAAATTCACTAGAGAAGATGGGGGATTCCAGAAGGAGAAAACCAGATGGATAAAACCAGAGAGGTAAGATACAGACTGTTTTTGGGGGGGAATGAAAAGCATTCTGGGCAGTTAAAATAAACAGAGCAGTGGCAGGTGCTTAGTACAGGGCAGCTTCTTAGGTCTCATCTAAGAGATTTTGATTTAGTTGGGGGGAGGTCAAAGAATTTGCATTTTGAAAAGAAGGCCCACATAAACAAACAAATGTTTGACAACTCTAACTTATATAGATTAACATTTCCCCAAAGATGCTAATGGTGCTTCATCTAAAAAAAAAAAAAAAGATACAGGTTCAAATTAGGAAATACTACATATTAAAGTATTCCTTTCTCCGAGACTTATAATACACATTAGAATATTAAAAGTCCTGCAGTAAAGGAATTATTGTCATTCAGCAGTTCCCAACTTATTTTCCATGGACAAAAAAAAAAAAAAAAGAAAAGCACAGTGCACCTATTAAGATCTCTCAGAACTATGTACTATGGAACAAAGGTTGGGCAGAGCTGAAACAGGATTCTGACCAGGTGAGTATGTTCTGCAAGTCCACTGAATGGCTAAGGAAATGTCTGGAAAAAGACAGCAAAGTCAGTGACTCTGGGGGATATGGCGGCATCCACTGATTTCCTCCAAGTAAAGTCTAAAACCATCTATGATGTCCTAGTTTCCAAGCCGACTGCCAGAAGCTTCCTTACTCTCAAGTAACACACCATGGCTCTGCGATGTTATTTCTGGTCACCAACTCTATGTGGTAACCACAGCTGCCAGAGACAGCAGAAGTGCCCAGAGTTCAAAGCACCAAGGAGCAGAAACAGAAGTGGAAAGGCAAAGAGGACGTATCCTTGCCCACATTTATTTATCTTTATTGCTATCACATGTTCTGCACAGAGCATTGGAAGTTGGCAAAATTCCTCCTAGCAACAAAAGAAGCCTCTGACAGTCAATGAAAGTACAAAAAGATATGAACCTAAGAACTTCCCATCCCCCTGCGGTGCCTGTTATATGGCTGGGGGAGTTCTGGAACCCTGCCTTCTTCCTCCTGTGCTGGTGAGCCAAGGGAGTTTGCCGGAGTGCACGCACCACCTCCTTCCTTAGCAAGGAACAGCACAGAGCAAGAGCAGGACAGAGCTGGACAAGCAAGGCAGCAGAGTGGTTCTGAGCAAATTGGTTTGCGTGCTGAATATTTCAAGACGTACATGCAATGTATACACTTTTCTCTCCCCTGGTATTGGCTTAATTACTTCCATACCCGCCCCCCACCCACCTCAACTTCCCATATGCCACATGGAGACACACACATCCCATCTAGAGGGGATTTCAACAATGTGTTCCAAATGCTTCTTTTATATCCCAAACCAGAGCTTTTTAATACTACTGTCCAACAGCACAAGTATTTTCTCAATCATTCCATAAATAATTCCTGAGTGCCTAAAAAGGTTCCAGGGCACCGTGTTAGATACTGGAAACACAAGAGTGGAAGTAGGAGAGTGCTCATTCCTATTGAATCTCAGGCCTAAAAAAACAAAACCAAACCAAACCTGAATTTTAAATTCAGCCTGTCAGTGCATGGAAAATCCAATTATCAGCAGCATAAAGAAATATAAAAGGGAGATAAGGTTTAGTCCTTCTCCTTGAAGAGTTTTATGGCTCAGAGCACCAAGCAAATGAAAGCATTTGCATTTCAAGTGTCCTAGTGGGTCCAGCAGCTTACACAAGAGTCCACAGTTAACAGTACAGCCTGGAATTAATAACAAATGATCAGGAGTGGGCAGAACAGAATGTCAGGATCTCTATTTCCCCAGAATGCCAATCCCTGTTTGATTGATCCCCAAACAAGCCCATGGATTCTCACACTGGGATTCCCTAACCTGAGAGATGAATACCAATAAATGCACCAGAGTTAATGTAACTTTAACTAATTAGCCAAAAAATGAAAATTCTACCAGGATAACTGGGTGGGTTTGGGGTCTAGTCCTAAGGAAGCCAGCAAGATCAAATCTAACATCTCACCAAGGCAATGTTCCCTAACATGTGGTATGTGTACCACTGAGGCCCACAAAATAATTGTAAGTAGTTCACAAATGGTTTTTTGGTGTTTTGGTGGGGTTTTTTGTTTTGTGTTTTTAAATTTCAAGGAGGTTCTTAGATGTGGAAAAAGACACTGCTGGTATGGTGGAATTTAGGGAAATATCAATAGGTGTTCCCCAGCATTTAAAGACAGTCCTAGAAGAAGCCTCTGCAAACTTTCTGAACTTGGGTGGGATGCAGCAAAATAAGCAAGAAACTGGTCACGGACTTACCCACACAGGTTGGAAATATGTCCTCATTGTTGATCTGGACCTCGATCCAATCCATAAGAAGGTTCATGTACTGAGGAGCTGGGAGGGCAGTTGGCTTCTTGTACTTGAGGTCATCCTGCCACCGATACTCATATTTGGGGCCCCCCGACATCACGGGGCAGGTCTGCTCGGTGCAGAACTCACAGATGGTGCCATAGATGAGGTTGATCCGATTGAAGAAGTCCACCACGTGCACCGCCACCCAGTCGTTCTGGTCCTCCCCACTGGGCAGCTGCACAGCGGCCTTCAGATCCACGCCTGAATTGAGGGATGCCTGAGCCCGTTTGTGGAGCTCAAATCTCTGCGTGCCAGGTTCAAATTTCCTCTTGGGCCGGAAGGTCTTGTCCTTGTTGAACACCTGCTTCAAGGCTATGGACATGGTCTTCTCCTTCTCTTCCTTTTTTTTGCAGGAAGCAAAAAGGCACCTAGAACTTCTCAGGGAGAGGTCACAACCCAGCAGCGTTTTCCACTGCCAGCCCTCTGGCCCCAGGCTTGCGGTATGCAGCTTTTAATCTCTTTTAGGCGGCCCCTTCCACCTTCCTCTTGAATAGTCTCCAAGAGAACCTCATGTTTCTTTCTAAAGGCTGAAGAGAAAAGGGCCTTATTAGTACCCAGCTGGCATGTAAGAACGACAAATGCTTAGATCTGATTTCCACCTCGCTTCTGTCAGTACCTACTTCCACCCAGGTATAAGGATATTGAAGACACGCCAAACCCCTGAGCATCTGTAATGGTGATTCAAACCACACAAATAACTCTTTTTCTTCATGGCCTTGGTCAAATCTCTGGCAACTCTTCCCTGTGTGGATGTAGGCTAATGGACTCTCCAAGAGGTTAACATGAACATGTTAGTCAAGGGCCCATCCCCATCCCACACAGGCCCCTTTATAGAGCACTCCCCACTGCCTTTATTGAGTAAGCATGGAATCACTACCCCATGCTCTTAAATATAACTGGTTGGAGCAGGGGTGGCTATCACACCATGCTGGCTAATAAGAATATCTCTCCTCGGAATTTGGGATCAGGGCCCAGCCTTTGTCAGGCATTGTTCCTGAGAAACAATGAAAACTGGGCCTGGTTGAGCCCTATTTGGACCACATGCAGTGCAGTTAAGAAAGCTGCTCTCAGAGACGGGAGGGAGGAGAGAAGAATGAGGAAGGAAGGAGAGTAAAGGGGGGGGAGAGGAGGAGAGGGGAGAGGAGAAGGAAAATGTCACTGACAGAGAACCAGATACAAGAGCACAAGCGGCTATAGGAAGAAGACAAGAGAAAAAGAGAAACAGGACAGTGGTTTCTTGAGTTCCTGTTAATCTTCTAGGAATTGGTTCCAGTTATTCTTTTTTTTTTTAACATTTTATTTATTTATTTGACAGAGAGAGACAGCGAGAGAGGGAACACAAGCGGGGGGGGTAGTGGGAGAGGGAGCAGGCCCCCCACTGAGCAGGGAGCCCCATGCCGGGCTCGATCCCAGGACCCTGGGATCATGACCTGAGCCGCGGGCAGACGCTTAACGACCTAGCCACCCAGGAGCCCCTGGTTCCAGTTATTTCTGAAGCCCTTGAGATCCATAGGTTTTCCCTGAATTAAATAAATCCCTGGATGGCTCAGTCGCCTGGGTGGTTCAGTGGGTTAAGCATCTGCCTTTGGCTCAGGTCATGATCCCAAGGTCCTGCTCAGCAGGCAGCCTGCTTCTTCCTCTCCCTCTGCCCCTGCTTGTTCACGCTCACTCTCTCTAGTGCATTCTCTCTCAAATAAACAAATACAATCTTTAAAAAAATAAATAAATCTCTTGTTTTACTTCAGCTAACTTGAGAGGGTTTTGTTTCTTTCCAAGAATCCTTAACTATGACAGCATTTATCACCCCTATAATATTTCATCCTTTACACCTTTGATATCATACCCTAGAGTTCTGAGGCAGGGGTGTACAACAAAACTTTCTGTGATAATGCAAATGTTCTATATCTTTGTTGTCCAGTATGATACCAACTAGCTATATGTGGCTGGTGTGACTTAAGAACTGAATTTTTCATCTAATTGAACTTTAACGAATTGAAATTCAAATAGCCACATGCAGCTAGTGGCTACCATTTTGGAAAGTGTAGCTTTGGTCTTCAGTACTCTCTTCTTTATTACCTCATTTGGCCCTTACAAAATCCTGGTGTGGTTTATAGTAGATTTGTAGTAGTTACCACTATCCCTGGGTGTCTAAGAGATAAATTTACTTGCCTAAACAACATCCCATAGCTAATATGGGCATAGTTAGGATTGAAATCGAGTTTCTTGACTCCTAGTGAATATTCTTTCGACAGCGCCTTAAATTCTAAGAAGTGATGCCCTTCCACCTGTCTTTCCTGCTGGTTCCTGAAGCCCCTTTACCCAGACCTTCCATCCACAAATTCCCTAAAGACCACAAGTATAGATTGGCTGGAGGTAACAATTGTGTCCTGTGGCTTGGAAACAGAGAGGAGATAACTGATCCACTCATGGATCAAGCCCTAGCAAAATGGGCCAACAGCTGCAGCCAGATTCAGAAGAGCCCATCATGAAATCTGCTACAGTGAACTTGGAGCATGATCCCACTGTACTGCACTTGCCCTGCTTAGATGGGGTTTTGCTATTCCACACTCAAACATGGCTTGGTGATGCATTCAACCTTAGGTCATTCAGGTAAAAACATAAAAACAAAAACACCTGAGACATGCGTACTCCGTCTCACAAGCTGCTCTTTGCTCAGAACTGCTGAACATTCAGGTGCAAACCTCCTCTGGCCACCCGCTGCAGCCCCTGTCTGCTCACTTCCTCCTTCTTATCTCACTCTCCTCCTGTTGGCTTTCCACTGAAATGCCACATTGAAGAGGTGGGTTTTTTCTCCTCCTTACATGGCGTTGAGCACAAATACCCCCCACAAAGAGATCCATGTGGAAAAGCAGGTCCCGTGGCACTCTCTGCCTGAGGACGTCTGTGAAATCACACTTCGGGGTGCTTCAAACTATCACCACGAAGGACATCACCACGCAAACTCTGCAAACCCCTGGCAATCTCTCCCTGAAAAGAATACCTTCCCAAAGGCTTAGTCAGCCTGGAAAGAGGTTTGAGAAAACAGAGGGCCTTAAGTGCTTTTCCAAAATAAAAATATGAGCTAGAGGTTGGGAAGATAGAGAAAGGATGGTGAGGTTGGCTTTTTTTTTTTCCTTTTAAAATAGACAATAGTGGGGCCCTTGGGTGGCTCAGTCAGCGAAGCATCAGACTCTTGGTTTCACCTCAGGTCATGGTCTCGGGGGTTGTGAGATCGAGTCCACCCTGGCTCTACACTCAGCACAGAGTCTGATCAAGTTTCTGGTTCTCTCTCCTCCCCTGCCCCTCCCCGCCCTGCGTGTGCGCGCTCTCAAATAAATAAATAAATAAATCTTAAAACAAAACAAAACAAAACAAAACATCGGGATGCCTGGGTGACTCAGTCGGTTAAGCATCTGCCTTCAGCTCAGGTTATGATCCTGGGGTCCTGGGATCGAGCCCCGCACTGGGCTCCCTGCTCAGCGGGAAGCCTGCTTCTCCCTCTCCCACTCCCCCTGCTTGGGCTCTCTCTCTCTCTCAAATAAATAAATAAATCTTAAAAAAAAAACCCACAAAAACAATGGTCCCTCTGTATCACAAATGCTTAATTGCTGACCACCCAACAGCTGCCCCTTCATGTATCTAGCAAATAAGACTTGGCTGTTCTGTTATTCTGATAATGAGGGTGCCATCAGTTACCATGGTCCTCAGAACAATGTTCTTTCATTGCCTTACATGAGCCTCAGTATCACTTGTTTGGCTGTTTCCCTGGGGCCTGGAGTATCTGCTTGCATGGACACCAATGTGAAACCTTCCCCCATACGATGGCAGGCTCCTATGCACACCCCCAAAAGACCCTCTAGCACCTCTCATGACATAGAATAATCATAGCATCTCCTTGTCACAAAGCCCTGCAGTGGCTGGTACTCACAAACATTTCAGTAAATATTAAAACCCCATATGAGGTTTAGAGATTTTTCTTCCAGAGATACTTTAAGATAATGAACTTGAAGATATCAGTCTCTTGAACTGGCTGGGCATTTAATCAAAACTTTAACCAGCTTTAAAGTCACCCTTTCTTTTTGCCTCAACGTAAAAGGCTTACTGGAGGGGGAAAAAAGTCACCTTTGGAGGATTTATTTCTCAGTCACGTCCCTTAATGTGCCACTACTGGCTACCATTTGTTAAACTCTACTATACACCAGATCCTTTACATATATTATTAACATTTTAATCCTCACTACAGTCTTGCACGGTGGATGTTTTTATGACCACTTAGCACAAAAAGAAACGGAGGCTCAACTAGATTAAATAATTTGGCAGAAATCGCAAAATTAGTAGATGGTAAGGCTGAATTTTGAACCCAGAACTCTTTGGCACCGAAACATATGTGATTTTTTTTCTTACTAAAGCTGCTTGAAAGCCTCATGAACATTTTTATGTTTTCAAAGCTCCTTCACATGTAGGTTTCAAAGATCCTCAGAAAAAGACTATAAAGGAAGCTAGAACAGGTGGTATTTTATCTCCATTTTACAGATAAGGAAACAGAAACTCTGATCTGCTCTAGTGCTCATCCAAATGCATTAACCATTCTGACATGCTCAAACCTGAGGATGTCTCTTCTGCTCAAACTTTTTCACCTAGAATAAAGTTCTCTGGAGATGGGATAGATTGGTGGGTGGGCTCCCATGTTTAAAGACACTGGCAATCCAGGATGGATAATAACAATTTCATCATACCACTGAATGGCTGAATCAAAAGGCATCTGTGTCTTTATTTGAGTGTCAAATGCTGTATTGGGGCAGATACCCAGAAGACTTTTGAAATGAAAAAGGGAACAGGAAATCCATCTGGCCTTACTGACCAACTCAGAGCCCCTTTAGGACCCCTGCCCATAATTTATACAGTAGGTTTATTAAATGGTTAGAGCAGTGCTTCTCAGACGTTAAGGTGGGATCTTGTTAAAATGCAGGTTCAGATCCAGTAGGTCTGGGGTGATGCCTAAGCATGTGCATTTCTAACAAAGCTCCCTGGTGATGCCAAATCTACTGTCCTTGGATGACACTGTAGGTTACTAAGAGAGCTTGTTAGAAATGCAGCCACTCAGGCCTCACTCCAGACCTAGCAGATCTAAGTCTGCACTTTAACAAAATCTCAGAAGTATACATTTAAGAAGCACAGAGTTGGAGGGCTGCCTGACTGGCTGGGTAAAGGGATGACAAAATAAACTTCCATTGTTGTTCTGTCGACAGTTTGCTTCATAAACACAGTCTTCAGTGTGTGAGCATGTGTGTGTGTGTGTTTAAGAAGAATGAGGGGAAACTC